CCCCCGCCCCCGCTGGACCCTACCCCGCCGCGCTCTGAGCGCCCCTGTTCCATGCACTACATCACGAGGGGGAGGGTGCGCGTCAAGCCCACGACCATCCTCCACTTCAGAAAATTTTCCGCGCATACGATGAAACGGTGGTGAACCCCCATCAAGGACCCGAGGAGGCTGGTAGGTCAACGACGTTGTGAGGATGCTGACCATGGATGAAAGACCGAGGCGCCGGGTGCGGGGCAACGCCTGCGGGCAACCCGGGGCAATGCTCCTGGGGAGTTCGCATGTCGACTGGAGTAATTAGTACCAAATCTGTTTTGCCTGACGGCCGAATGAGGAATGTGACGAGCGATGTCGGACCAACTTCTGTGTTATCATATTTATTGTTTTTGTTGTATTTATTGCCATCGCAAATAAAACGTTGTTGTTGTTTTACACCGGTTGTTGACCCTTGTTAATGTACATTGAAGCAGCGTAACCTCCGACAAGCTTGTGCGGGTTGGGAGCTTGTGGCGTGGCGGCATCGCCCACACTAACTTGAGACCAAGTTCGTGCAGGGGCATGATGGACGGACGGACTCAGCGCGGCGACCGCTTTTCGGCTCGCATACCACCAAACGCGTGAAATTCGCACCATGGCGGGGGGTGGCAAGTATCCGCTCCCAAACACTCAGCTCCAAGTTTCAATGAGCCCTTGCGGATGGCGGTCTGCCGGCAGCAGCACTAAACTGTTGTACAACACCCGCTATCCGACTCGACTGCTGAAAATGAGGAGTGCGATGAGACGAGATTGTTCCACACCGCTGCATCGTCTGCTAGCTGCTGCTTCATACTACTTCTTGCTTCGCGTTTTCGTTCATTGAAGCAAAGACAATGAAATGGCGTCGTCGGAGCGGCGGCGATGATGCCAAACGGTTTGGCGGAGGCCGCGGCGCCGCCGACCACCCTCTAGTCCTGGCCGAGACAGCTGTTGTGCAGGCGAGCAGCGGGGGCGGGGCGGGGGAAGGGCGGGGCGGGGGAAGGGAGGCGGCGCCGAGGAAATGAAAGATAGCGGAGGAAAGACGGTCAGGAGGAGGAGGAGAACTCGGCGAGAGCTCGGGGCAGCCGTGGCAATCCGATCCAATAACATGAGATGAACCTGACAGCGGGGTGACCCCTATCTCCACGCTGCCGCCGCCGCTGGACTGCTGTGCTGCTTGCGGCCGCAACAAACGGGTAACGCCTTCTCTCTCTCCGTCGCACTCACACTGCCGTCACGTGTGAATCCGGGGTGAGCGAGAGAGACGACGGTGGTGGCGGCGCGTCTCGATGTGTACATAGGTACAAAATGCCGAGGACGCAGATACACGGGATGGTGGTCGCTGTGCTGTGCCCGAGGGGTCCTTCACTAAAAATTCTCCCGTACACTGATTTTTCTGTATTTCTTGGCTTTTTTCTGATTTTTTGTGACTTGTTGATTTTTTGTAGCTTTTCGTTGATTTTTTCTGATTATTTTTTTCATGATTTTCTCTGGGGTTTTTTCTGATTTTTTCGTGATTTTTTTCTGACGGTGTACACTGATTTTTTTTTTTGAGTGAAGGACCCCTCGGCTGTGCCCCGTTGGAGCAAATGCGCCCGCCCACTAGCCCGGATGCGCCGATGTGAACGGGTTTGCGTATCTTCTCTTACCGTAGCTCCTTACGGCCCCGTCCGAATAGGCAACCCGTCCGCACGCCTGCACGCCAGCTAGTATACACGCATTTGCTCCAACGCGGGGCACAGCGACCGCCCTGTATATGGTCTATGATGGAGGCCGTTACCAAAGCAGCCGTTTCCTCCGGCATTTCGGCAATAAACCGATTGCCGAGTTATAGTTATGTAGAGAACATTCGTGGAATGGCTGGAATCGGCAGTGTGGCTGAGCGTCCGGGCTGTGAGGACTGCGGCCCCCTCGGCCTGTATGCGGTCTGCAGCAAGTGCCGCCGGTGCCGGTGTCTCGCGGTGTCCGAGTGGAGCTCGGCCGCTCCACGCGATCCATCTAGGTCCAGGTCGCCGCCGAGCAGACCGACAGATTCTGCTCCGGGATATAGCGGCGAGTCGTGTCCAGCTGAGTCCAGCCGTGACCGGTCGTGTCCACGCTGGCTGAGCTCATCGACGGAACTGCCTCGATATATCGGCTAGTTGTAATCAAACGCGTTTGTAGCGTAGTAGCATTTTCATTCCTTATCGTCGACGAGACGTGCGCAAAGACTAGTTTAAAAACTACTATGATTCCCGCTCCCGACCCCTGAACATAGTCGGATAAAAGACTAAACTCATTACTTTTGCTCAAAATGACTAAAAATCACGTGGCTCCACGATCTTGTAGGCACCAGAAACTAAATCCCGTTCAAGCTTCCCTTTATAATTTCAGATGTTAGATAGGGGCTAAACCACTATTTCTCATACTGCTTCAACGGAAACAGAGAAATTAGAAATAAGTGAGATACCTCTTACTTTTTCACTTCCGTTTAAGACAGCCTGGAACACCCTACTACTACTCCGTCGCTGTGTAACCGTCTGTGTGCCCCGCCGTGTCGTATCGCGATCGGATTGTAAACGGGGCGTAGTTTCACTCGGCAGCTCCACAAAGACGGGAGAAGACGCGGTTCCGGGGCGGCGAGGGTGGAGGCGAGGCGGGTGGGAGAGAGAGAGAGAGAGAGGGGTTAGAGGGTTGGGGATAGTTCAGTAGGCGCAGGAGTAAAGGCAAACTACTCCCTGCTACACCTCATTCCGCTGTCTGTCAGTGGCACCAAGTCTTCCCTCACCCACCCCCTTTTCAAACATTTGCTGTTGCTGCCCCCGCCACCACCCCCTCTCCCCCTGCTCACTACCATGCCACGATTTGCAAGCAGATGGAGCAACCTACGGGTGATTCCGTCGCGCACACTGTCTTTTGGGCTCTCGACTGACCGGCTTTTTGATTTGCTCCTTTGCCACGGCAAAAACTCCGCGATATTTCGCATTTTTACAGGGGGAGCCCCCATCCCCAATTCCAATCTCGGCTAAAGCCGGGCCCTACCAGCAGCAGCCCTGCACGTTCGGGCAGGTCCTGGTGACAACCCAACACAGCCCACACAAGGGATTTTGAAGCGCGGAGAGAGGGTCGTAAGTTGTTGACGAGACGAGATAGGGTCTAGTCTGATGTAATTTGGCGTTCTCTGGCCGTATAGAAGTTTGTGGCGTAGTGCCCACCAAATTAGTAGTCACGCAACAAGGACGCGCGACGTCCTAGACCCTCCTCATCTGCCTATATCCGGCGTGCTCTGCTTTCCGAGGGCAGCAAATAATAACGTGTCCTAGGACCACATGCCGTAATAAAGCGTATAGTACGGTATACAAGAAAGGGCGCGGCGGAGCGGCGCTGTAAAGGGGCGGGGGGCAGCCCTCCGCCAGGCCGCCGGGCGTGGGCTAGAGAGACTATAAGGATAGAGAGATATTAGAGTCTCTCTAGCGTGGGCGCGCGACGCAGGTGTGTGTTGGGTTGCCTACGCCGCGGGCGCTCTCCGTGGCCACGCATACTAGTTACGCGCCGCTCTCGATATAACCCAACGCAAAATTATGGATATGGACTCAAAGTGCAAGTGCGAGAGAGAGAGTGGGGGGGGGGTGAGAGCTGGTAAGGGTCGCGATCCGACCTTGACTCCCCGACCAACGGGGGGCCGATAGTCCCCCTTATCGGTGCTGCTGCTGATGACCTTCGCACGCGTGCGTCGTGCCGGTGGCGATGAGCATCACCGCCGTTGTATACATGTTGTGCTCAATAAATCTGATGCTCGGTACATTAAGCTGCCGACGGAAGAGTTGGAGAAGACGCAGTGGGAGAGAGAGAAGTAAAAGATGGCCAAAGTTTTTGAGAGCGCGGGGAGGGGGGGGGGGCGTGGCCGAGCCGCGAGGTGGGTCCGCGCGCGACGTCAGAGCTGACGTAGATGTGGCGTCAAAACTTTTCCAGGATGACGTGTCCGAAATATGCTAATTAATCATGACGTCACTCTTTAAGGGGACCGGCTGCCCGCCCGTGACTTGTTCTGCCGCTTCCTCCGCGCGAGCGCCTCGGAGGAGCTATCAAGCAGTGTATCGAGTTACAACCGACTGCACGACCAGAAATGAAGTCTCGACAGAAATAACACATCTTCTTTTGCACCAAAAAACATTTCAATTTTATTTCATTTTTTTTAAATTTGTTTTTCAATTTATTGTTACAAGAAGAGAGCATGAGTACAAATAGCGTACAAAAACAGAGCTGTCTGTCTGTCTGTCTGTCTGTATGTCTGTCTGTCTGTCTGCCTATCTATCTGTTTGTCTGTCTGTGTGCCTGTCGGTCTGTGCACACAACGTGATCACAATAAGAGTGTGAGAGAGAGAGAGAGACGTGTTCGTCCATACAAACGGCGGGCAGTACGTATGGGGTTCGGCGCGACGCGCGCCGCCGCGCCGCCGGTGAGTTTGGCGGGACAATCTGATAGCGTGCCGCGCCGGGCCGCGTCCCAACCCGCTGAGCCCCTCTCTCTCACTCCCTCCCGCGGCGCGCGCCGGCCCCGGCAGTGCTCACTCCGGACGCGTCGGGGAAGTAATAATTAATACGTGCGTGGGGCCCCGCACGGCGCAGACACGCGTGCACACACGCGCTCGCACACACGCACGCACACACGTGCACGCACGCGCTCACACACACACACACACACGCAAGCACACACATGCATACATTCTCCCGATAGACCGAGGGGTTGGTCCGGGGATAAATGGGGGGATTAGTGGCGGTCGGCCGGTCGTCGGCGGTCGGTGCGCGAGCCCGGGCTCGGCGCTGGGCGTGGGCGTCGCCCGACACGTTGGCCACCCGCGGGGAGGCCCTACCACTGATCCCCAACGGACCGACAAGGGACTGTGTAGGGATCGAAGAGATCCCCGCTGTGAATAAAGTATGTGCGAGAAATCTCGGACTCGGGCGTACGCCCGCCGCCAGGATCAAGTCTGATTCGGGAGAGCAATGGTCGGACCGGGGGAACAATAAGACGAAAATTTTCATGAAGCTCTGCTTCGGCATCGAACGGACGCAGGGAGCGGCTTTGCTTTCTCCCCTGGGCCTCTGCCGTCCGACGTTCGCGAGGGCGCTACGCAGCGGTGAGGCGCTTGGGCTTGGGCTTGGACTTGGGCGGCAGAGGGCAAGCGCCCCCATCGCACTCGGGCGTCGGGGTGGTGGCCTCTGCCTCTGAGCCGGGGGTAGCTTCCTCTGGGGCCTCCTCGGGGGCGTCAGTGGGGCCGGCGGGTGTCGTGGGGGGCGTGGTATCCTCGCTTTCTTGGGTAGTGATGTCGAGCTTGTCTTCGGGATCGTCGTCGCCGTCGTCATCCTCGGGCCGTGCGTCGTGGGGAGGTTTGTCGGAGGCGGGGCCGTCTTTCGGAACGTCTTTAGGAACGTCATCGTTGGGTGCCGCTTGATCATGTTTCGAATTGGTCGGTTTCATCCTTTTCGGAACGTCCTTGGGACTGTGTGGTGTCAGTTCGTCCTCAGGTTCGTCAACAGGTTTGTCCTCAGGTTCGTCCTCAGGTTTGTCCTCAGGTTCGTCCTCCGATTCGTCCTCTGGTGCAGCAGGTTTGTCTGGGTGGCTGTCGAGGCTGTCCGGTCTCCTCGCGGGTTTGAAGGGCCTGCCCCCAAGACCGATGGGCGGCCGATCTCCGAGCATCACAACGTTGGGGGCCGTTGAGCCCAGCAGTCCGGGAGGGACCCCGAAGCCGCCGCGCCCCCCGAGACCGCCGGAGCCGCCCAGGAGGAAGTCCCAGGGTGATCCGCCGGGACCGCGCATCGCGGGGCCCAGGCCCAGCACACCGCCCCCGTAAACACCACTAAGGCCGGGGGGCCCGAAGGTCGCCGTCGTCACCCCCAGTGAAGGCACGACGAGGACGCGCTGGCCGCGGCCGCGGCCGCGCCCGGGCACCGATGCCATCGGCCCGATCCCCACGAGCACGCCCTCGCCCTGGCCAGCCTCGTCCGCACCTGGGCTGACCGGCCTCATCGGCCTCCCGCCCAGGCTCGGGCGCATCACGTAGACACCCTGGCCCCGGCCCCGGCCCGGCGTCGAGCCCGGCATGCCCGGCGTCCCACCCGGACCCGGTCGCACGACGAAGACGCCTTCGCCCTGGTCGGAACCCTCGTCCGCACCCGGACTTTGTGGCCTCATCGGCCTGCTTCCCATACCCGGTCTCAGGACAAAGACACCCTCTCCCTGGTCGGACTCCACACCCGGACTTTGTGGCCTCATCGGCCTGCCTCCCATACCCGGTCGCAGGACAAAGACACCCTCTCCCTGGTCGGACTCCACACCCGGACTTTGTGGCCTCATCGGCCTGCCTCCCATACCCGGTCGCAGGTCAAAGACACCCTCTTCTTGATCAGACTCCGTGCCCTCGTCTGCAGCCGGACGTTGTGGCCTGCCCGGCTTTTCTCCCGGACGCGGCCTCACCACGTAGACACCCTCGCCTCGCCCGCCTCCCGGGTACACGTCCGCACCGGGGCCGTAGCCGTACACTCCCGGAGGCCGGACCAAGAAGTGCAGCACGCCGCGGCCACCGCCCTCCTCGTCGTCACCCTCCGCACCGTCGTCGTCGGGTTCCGGGGCGTAGCTGGCGTCGCCCCCCTTGCCTCGCGTCGGCTTAACTTCCGCGGGATCTTCATCGGCGGGGTCCGACTCGGCCTCCTCGTCGTCGTCAGCGTGGTGCTGCTTACCGCGTCTACCAGGCTTTGCGGGCTTTCGCGCGCCTTTCCCACGCGTTGGCTTGGTGACCGCGGGAGCTTCGCCGTCCTCAGTCTCGGGGTCGTCGTCCTCCTCGTCATCGGCGGGGTCCTGCTTATCGGTTCTGGTGGGTTTGTCCGCGGGCCGTGGGCCTTTTCCCCGCGTTGGCTTGGAGGTCGCGGAGTCTTCACCATCGGCGTCCTCGTCGTCATCGACGGGGTCATCTCCCTCCTCGTCACCGACGTCGTGTTTCATGCCGGGCCTGGCGGGTTTGCTCGCAGGCTGCGCGCCGCCGAGCTTGGCGATGTCCGCCAGGATGTCCTCGATGTCGCCGCCAGCTAGGCCAGTACCGCGGTAGCTGCCGCCGGCCCCGACGTGGCCACCGCCGAGCACGGCGAGCAGGGCGTCGTTCAGCGATAGTTCTATCGGGCCGCCGACAAACTTGCGCGGCGGCGGTCTGCGGCCAAACGGCGAGGGGCGATACGTGCCCCCCTCAGCCCCAGGGCCTCCGCCCAGGATGATGACCCCCGGGCCCGGAGGCAGCTGGCCCTCCAGGGCGACGTCGTCGTCGTCCTCGGAGGAGCTCAGCGAATCGCTGGCGTCCCCACGCGGCCCTTCAGGACGGCCTCCGGGTGCAGCACCGACGAGGATGGACATCATGGCGTGGTGGCCGGGCCTGTCCGCGGCCACGGCGAGCAGCGCCGCGAGCAGCGCCAAGACCTGCGGGCAACGGCGGGGCGATGAGTGCGGAGGAGAGGAAGAGGGGCACGGCACCCGTGCGAGAGGAAGGGGAAGACAAGATGAGGGACGAGACGTCTTCGCATTCTTTGAATCATCATTCATCTCTTTAGAATGTCGAGGAAACGCCCACGTCGCGTGAGGGGGGCATCCGCGATCTGTTTTGGACGGTTATCAAGTGGATCATCATTTCCTCCGAATTGGGGGGGAGCTCCCCAAACAACAAAAATAATTTACGTCAAACCTCGCGCGGCGATGTTGCTCAGCCCGTCCGATCAAGCAAGAGGCGATGATCGTTGCTTTATATTTATTTAAATAAATGTACAGTAGACATCATTGCCCGGCCCGAGGGGCCGGGGTAAAAAAAACTCGACACAGCGAATAATAGCAAGAGGGAAAATCCCTGCGCATGGCGCGAGAGGATCAGGAATATAATCACTACGGATCACAAAACACTCCGCGGCATTCCATTAACGGCCGCAAACGTCCACTTTCCAGTGTTTTAACGATCACTTGTATCACTGCGGACGTCGTCGTGGCGCGACGGGCTGCACGCTGCACTAATCACGACGTGGCCGTCACCGCCGGCGTCGTCGCAACGCAGCGCCGCGCCCAAAACCATCTTATTTATTCCGTGTCCATATCGGCGACACGGGCGGCCCCAAGGCTAAGCGGCTGGAGCAGGCGGCTGGAGCTGCTGGAAGCCTCGCTCGCTGGAAGCCGTATACCGCGTATATATGATTGATGGACTCATCACGTCCCGCTGGACATCATTTCCGAGAACTCTTTGTGTATCAAACACACGCGTGCCCTGCCCTCTCGCGAGTCCCGCCCGGCACTACCGAGTAAAGGCTTATTGAACACATCCAGACACATCCACTATGTGCTTTTCAAACTCATCACGCACAGCCACACTAAACATGTGAAAGTCCAAATTCTTTTTCCAGGAAACAAAAATCAAAAGTTTTCCAGGCAAAAAGAAAAAACTGGCCAGCTGGCCTGTAACAAGGCAGTCGACGGATGATTTGAAAGCTAGCACCAACAAAACGGAAATAACCACGGGAATCAATAAAAATTAAAAATCGGGAAATCAAAGCCAAGAATAAAACGTCGGGCTGGGTTGGCTGGT